CCTCAGTCAATTCTTCCTCTTGCATATAAAGGCTCGAGTAAAACCCAAGTTGACACTCGAAGTTTCCTTATCTAAAAAATCTGGCCATGTTGAAAATGTTTTAATATACTATTACTCATAGATCTAGGTCTCGGGAAAAATGTTCACCATGTGATGATGTTAGTTCAGTTTGGGTTTGAATTCTTCCAAGTATTTTCTGAAGGAAATCTATGTCGCGTTCACACTTAGGACAAGCCAATGTATAATAAGTCAAATAAAATTCGAAAAAAATTCCTTTACAAAAACTGCAAAATCTCTTGCTTCTCTCTCCTGCCATTTCCAGCGTCCCAAAAAACTAAGACCGCCCATTCATTGCTGAAAAGGTGTTCTTTTGTTTGCTTCCCTTTACTGTGGCTGCTCCTCGCATGAAATTATTCTGTCTAGGTAGTAGCCATTCTCATATAATAAAAAAAAAATTCCCTTTCAGACCTTGCCATCTATGGGGCAGATGATGCTAAGGTCATCTGTTTTTTCGGCCAACGTTCAACGAGCAGGGTGTTTTGTGGCCAGCTCAACGACCAACTGCCTTTACTTTCCCCAACTAAAGTCAGGTACCCATTAGAGCTGAGTGGACTTATGGACGCCCTAAAATTCCCGGAATTCAAAATCCCAGCCTTCACCGAGATGCGAACCCAGGACCTCAGGTTCGGAAGCCGAGCGCGTAACCACTCAGCCACCGCGCCTCCAATTCAAATAATACTTAACCTTTCCCCCCCCCCCCCCCCAAAAAAAAAAAAAAGATTGCTCGTAGTTAAAACTCAAAACGATCTATTTCGTGACTATCAAATCAACAATATCATATTTCTGTGCCATTTTGAAGTTATTTCGGATTCAGGTTATCGTGTCCAGCGCTTGCTAGCTTGCTAAAAACGTTTGTTGAGAGCATCTGTTAGCGCTGTGTACATTCTATAGCTGATTGGAAGAGATGCCTTGGTGGGAAGAAGACTACGACCGTCTCAGACATCCCCTTTTCATTACGAGCAGGCAGTTTGTTTTATGGTCTCCCTATTCCTGTACAAGTTGATTCTGATGCAAGATGTGACATTTTGCGAGAATGTGGTCTACTATCTCCTTCTCATCTCTGCTGTCGCGGATTCGTATGTAGCAAACTCTCTCGGAATGGCCCCCTATTACCCGTTCATAGGGCAACGAACAACTTGGAATTCGGCTAAGACGCCTTGTTCACCTCGCTTGAGTTGCCACTATGCATCTTTGCCTTTTTTCAATTTTAAAAATTTTTTTTTTGCCTTCCTGAGATTCTCTCATTACAAAGATAAGGGCATTCTTAGGATATTCTAAGGATTTCTTTAGATATTCTTAGTATATTCTTAGGATGTTTTTATGATATTCTTAGGATGCTCTTAGGATATTCTTGACATTCAATATAATTTCCCACGTCAACACTGTATAATACATATGGATACTATATTTTTTAGAAACTCGAAGTATCTAACAAAATAGTAATATAATCACAATAAATGGCAGTTAAAAGTACAAGTTTCAATTTTAAAACTGTTCAAAAGTATCAATTATACTTGACAACTACTCTGAAAACATTGTTAATATTATTTGTATGGTATATATATATATGTATAACGCATATCTATATATGGTGGGAAGCGTGGTCGAGATGCTAAGTGCGCTTGAACTTGGCTTGTCTTGGCTACCTAGAAGGGGCAGAGTTGTGTTTACTGAGCGCCTAAAGGCAGCTTGGAAAAAACAACTCCTAGATACCCCCTCCCCCACTGGTCCACAAATGAGATTGGACATGCTCTGAGCATGCATGAAAGTAGCGCTATAGAAAAGCTATAATAATAATAATAGTAATATTATCGCTTAATTCAACAAGACTTAAGTTTTGACATCTCTTAGAGCTTTGAAGTTTTTTTTTTGGGGGGGGGGGGGGGATGGAGAATGGGAAGTCAGTACAATGGCCAGGTAAGTCGGGTTAAATGAAAGTTTGGGAAATCTGGACCTACCTAGCCCTATTTCTTTAACTCATTCGCCTTGTCTAATAAATATACTTTCAGTTTGTGCCTTATTCAAGAATAGGAACCTGGAACATTTTTATCTTGCCTTTTTTCTAATATTCAAAATAATGAAAACAAAACGCACAAAAAGCCTTTAAAAAACGCTGCTTTTTTTTTTTTGTTTCGTACATATGTCACTCCATTTGAGCTGAATTAGATTTGTCCCGCCTTCACGTTGATATTTTTACCCAATCGGTGAGATTACACAAGGATTAACGTTTGAATACAGCCTGATTATTTCTGTGCGCTACTTTAATTCAGCTATTTGTCGTATTGTTGTTGTCTTTTTTTAACTATTTATGGACATTTATTTTTATGAGTTGAAAAAAAACGTAAAAGCGTTTACTTCTGCCAGTCTTACACTACGGAAACACTTATCTCGGATAGCTACGGAAACGCTTATCTCAGATAGCTACGGAAACGCTTATCTCAGATAGCTACGGAAACGCTTATGTCAGATAGCTACGGAAACGCTTATCTCAGATAGCTACGGAAACGCTTATGTCAGATAGCTACGAAACGCTTATCTCAGATAACTACGGAAACGCTTATCTCAGATAGCTACGGAAACGCATATCTCAGATAGCTGTGGAAACGCTTATCTCAGATAGCTTCGGAAAGGCTTATCTCAGATAGCTATGAAAGGGCTACTGTAAGTTTCGAGTCTCCTCAGGACAAAGATGTTTAAAATAAAAAGAAAACAAAAATTAAAACAGCAGACGATCTTTTTTTTTAAACATTTTTTCCCGTCTTTTTTTGTTTTTTACAAACTTTACATCAACTCACCCTGTCTGTCTGTCTGTCTGTCTGGTAAAAAGTGTGTGAATATTCTTTCTCCCACACCCATTATCGGATCAAGTTGAAACCTCGCACAATTATTTTTTGACATAGACAAGACACGAATAAAGAAAGAATAAGTAATGAATGATTTTGTTTGATACCAACAAGGTAAACTTATACTTCAGTATTCATATATATATATATATGGCTAAATTTGTTGGGTTTAGTCAACTTTAATAATTTTTAAGCGCTTTTTCTCCCTCACGTATTCTCCGCTCAAGCTAATACTTGAAATAATTATTCATTCTACTTAACAAAACATGAATCACTTTTTTTAAAATACCCAATTAATAGAGTTATTATTGTGATATCCATTAAAGGGAAATAACGTGCACGTTATTGATAGATATAGTTTTAAGGGCGGAATTCTTTCCCTTTAGATGAGCTTTTCTTTAAGGATTGTTTATATTTTGCTTCTTTCTATCTAGTGTATTTGTGTAGTATTCAATCTCACCAAATGAATATTTAGCCTTTATAACTCTAAGAGATTTTTTTTTTAATGTATTAACGAGTCTTTTCTGCACTGTGGATTTCCTTTATACAAATAGAATTCGACATATCTACAGAATTTACAGAACACATTACTGTGTTAAGCTCAATGACATGCTACATCTAGACATCTGAACCAATTAACTGTGTTAAGCCCACTATGTATATGACTTCGTTTTTTCACAAATACAGTGCTTATTTTCGCCGACTATGACCCTGATCTCCACCTTCAGTTTCTAGAACTTGAACTAAAAACTGAAATTAATAGAAACTGAAACAAATTAAAAGAAAAATTGAGGGACTTTATTCTTGGAGGGAGGGGGGGGGTGACTAATTTGAATTTCCTCCTCACATTTCCTAGTGCTTAAAATCCACTTGGAAACGCCGTGCTTCACACAGCCACCATCGATCCTCGGAGCAACGGTATGTTTATGTAAGTATTTACGCATTTGAACAGTAAAGTTACAACTCTCTCTGTCTCTCGACCATGTACTCATTTCATCAGGCGTGGGTGTGCATTATAAACAATCATTCAATAGTATGTCGTTTACAATGGTGAGTATACTAATCTTATATTTTTTATACAATTTGGGATTATTTTTTCCAGGTAAAAATTCATAAAACATATTTTTCCCCGAAAAAGCGAAGAGACGTGAATACCTTTTTTCCTCCCATTAATTTCTTATCTTAAAAACAAAACACACTTAGCGAGGAGCCGCGCAAGTTCAAGTGCTAAGTGGCGAAGGATCAACTGTGAAACCTTCTTTCACTGAATCCGACGCTTTGGTTGCCACAGGTGCGTACGCTTACACTCATATGTACTGAATAGTTTTCCCTATCTCTGTTGTGGTCAGGTTTTAACTTGTTCAGATATTATATATTTAGAATGTTTCTTTTTCATATATTATGAAACCCTTTTATCTCCTTGTAACTTTTTTTCTTTTATGTAACCTTTTTTTTTTTTTTAAATTGTTTTTCGAGATTTGTTCCTAATGTAATGTTTATGTCTAAGTTACTTCTTTAATATAAATATATATTTAAATGTAACCTGACCTCAGAGAGAAATTCTTGCTTGAGATCCCAGACTTTGGTGTCACGTGTTGTAGTTGATAGCTCCTCAACCACCAAAGCGAAAGCCACCTTGACATGCCAGATATGTGGACGGGAGTGTCTCTCCAAAAATAGGGCTGCACAGACATATGAAAAAGTGTTCGAGATGAACCATAGTCGTTTCACGACTGAATGAGACCAATGATGGTGATGAGTTGATAGGGTTGGTTAAGAAAATTGTTTACTTTTATATTCATGAAAATCTCAACTTTTTTTGTAGACCCAGGATGAAAACTAAGAATACCTCAAATCGATTGATGATATAGATTTATTATATGTATTTTTTTTCTTTTGTCGTCCAGTGTATATTTACCATATGACTCATACTAGAGACATGCATTCTATATTTATGTACTTTTTATACGTTGAGGTTTTACAGTATCAATTTGTGTTTGCATCATATCTATTATTTCTTCGGGTATTCACCTAAAAAACATTGTAACTTTTGTACGTATATGTCTTAAGTAAAACCAGAGCATATCCAGACCGGACAATTATGTACATTCATAGAATAAGATACTATTTTTGAAGTTATAACTGTACCTCACTTTTCAAAAATGCCAGTTTTATTTCGTAAATTCTCTTTTAAAGTCATTCATCTCTTTTTGGTATATTGGAATCTGTAATGGAGATGCTTATTATTTGAACACTGTGCATAACTTCACCAAATCTGTAACGTTTGAAGATTCAACGACCACTAACCATAATTAAAGTGTCTGAGCCTCAGTTCCAGAGAATAGCTTGCTATTAACAAATTTACATCGCGTTCTTTGAAACCAAGATCGAAATAAGAACATAGACTATAGCATTCAGTTGCGTGTTTTTTGATGTCGTAGGTATAACCCACCCACCCCATTTCCTTTATGTCACTCGTGCATATACAAACACAAAAATGGTCAAAATGTTTATGAATGCCAAAATTTCTCAAGTATTTAAAGCAACTATACACAGCGTCATTGCAGCAGATTTTATTTTTACATTCTAAAAAAAATACTAAATGTGACAATATCACGTCCTAATGTCAGCAAAATGTCACACACTGACTTAGCTTTCATTATGAGCAGCACTCTAGCAACTTTTTTAAAAATTTTACACCAATTTTTTCTTTTGAAGTGACGAATGTGACTTGTCACAGTCACCCAGATGTCATACTTGACTGAGCAGCAAAAGTGTTAACCTCGATTATCTCCACTGTTGGAAAAGAAATACAAAAGTCTCAACAACATGTTTTTATTCCTATAAATTTATTTGGTGCGTTTTTTTCTTGTAGGGTTCATAAGCAAACCGATTTCAAAGAAAACGTTTCATACTATTAAAACTTGTAAAAAAAAAATTGTATTATTCATTTATTTGTGTGTCTTTGTTTGTTCTTGTTTAATTTAAAACAAATGTTAATCTTCTAGCAGCTTCAAGCTATTGATAGATGTCATTAGTAGATTTTAGTTTTTATCGCCTCTTTGTCTCTTATGTTAAAAAAAAAGCCTGGGTCGAAAGTTAAATTACAGTCCAATAGTTCAGACCTTTTAAAGTCAAAATCCAATATTTCAGACCTTTTAAAGTCAAAGTCCAATAGTTCAGACCTTTTAAAGTCATAGTCCAATAGTTCAGACCTTTTAAAGTCACAGTCCAATAGTTCAGAACTTTTAAAGTCACAGTCCAATAGTTCAGAACTTTAAAGTCAAATTACAGTCCAATAGTTCAGACCTTTAAAGTCATAGTTCAATAGTTCAGAACTTTAAAGTCAAATTACAGTCCAATAGTTCAGACCTTTAAAAGTCAAATTACAGTCAAATAGTTTAAAAATACTAAAGTCAAATTAGAGTCCAATAGTTCAGACCTTTAAAAGTCAAATTACAGTCCAAAAGTTCAGACCTTTAAAAGTCAAATTACAGTCAAATAGCTCAGAAATGCTAAAGTCAAATTACAGTCCAATAGTTCAGACCTTTTAAAGTCTAATTACAGTCCAATAGTTCAGACCCGAGCTTATTATTAAGAACTTGTTTTAAAAGCGCATTCTCACATACGGGTTTACAAATATTTGTAAATATAAAATATCCAAGGGAGGTAATCTCACCAAAGACAAAAAAAATAAAAACATCACATTTACCCCCCTTATGTTCAGCTGCTCTCTTTCCGTTAAATAAAAGCGTAAATCTACTTGACGATATTGTAAAGTTCCCCCTCTCAGACCTTTGAGGTCTAAATAGCTGTCCTTTGTCTCTGTGACCCACGGATAAGAAGGGTGTCATGGGGCCAGCACAACGACCAATCTCCTTTACTTTTCCCTAACTAATGTCATGTATCCACTATAGCTGCTTAGACTCACAATCGCCCTAAAGATTCCGAAATGTATAACCCAGTATTCACCAGGATTCGAACCTGGGAACCTCAGGTTCGATGCCAAGCGCTTTACCACTCAGCGACGCACCTCCTTCATAATGATGATATCACATTTATTATTTATAATTCTTCGCTGTTTTCCCTTGGTGTAGTCCATTGTCCATCGGAAGGGGGGTCGGCCGAGGGAGAGGGGGGCGATCACCCCCTACCGCCCCCCCTCCGCCTAGATGGTGAAGCCATGATGACAATGTCGATATTGGGGAGCCATGGTCCAGGGCTTTGCAAAGCCTGTAGTACAGGTTTTGAGTCAGTGACCACAACAATATGTGTTACCCTCAAATGTCCCTCACCGATTTGAGATTCAATGACTTTTAAGGCTTCACAGACTGCCCTGCCTTACGCCAGAAAAAGGCGTTGCGCCCCCCCCCTCCTCGGGGCAAAGCTTCTCAGCCTTAACGTTGCGTTCCGGTGGAAGCTGTCGCTTGATTAGACGAGTAGATCAATAGGGAAGCAAAACAGTAACTGCGTTGGGGTGATTTTGACCTTATTAAATTAAATTAATGTTTAATTTTTTAAACTTGACTTTGAATTATATAATACGAGCATGCATTTCCCTTTAATTCTATACAATACAACATTTTCTGATAACAAACAACAAAGCTATTAAAACCTAATCATAACAGGGTAGTGAAGCAATAAATAAGCAAATGAAGAATTCCTTCAAAACATGGGGAAATAATTACGTAGATAAAGAGTTAACAAAGGTTTAGTTGGACAAGCTGTTTGGAGCTATAAACCAACGACCATATTTTACAAAGGTTCAGATAATCACAACAAATTTCCATAAGGATCAATAAAGCAGTCTTGCTCTTAGTCTTAGATAGACAAGGTACAAATCAATGACCTAGTATAAACTAAGGTTTAGTTGGACAAGCTGCCAAGTGCTATAACCCAACACACACCGACCTCAACCAATATTAAAATAATTGGCTCAGAAGTCGGACTAATATCCTGATATTAACCAGGATAGAACACAAAGCAGACGAACTGTGTCAGTGATCAGGTCGATGACAAGTTGGCCAGGTCACCGTGATCTTCCTGTTCGAACTACTCCAGTAGACACTTGACATGTATTTGCCAGGAGACAGTAAAAACTCTAATCCATATTCGTTGACTTCTAAAGACTGATGAGTTCAGGAACAGCAGCTCTGTTCGATACATTCAAATCTACTTAGTTTTCTTTTATAGACTTAAAGTGCCAATGAAATCACTTCCTATAGAATGTATAGTTTTAGTAATCAAGGGAAAAATTTTTTTATTCAGTTCAATAATTTCTGATCATGCTTGAACGGTCTAAAAGGGGAACTTTACTTTTTCTTTAAAAGTTTTGCATATAATAAGTTTTACTTCGGTCAATTCGAAAAAGAGCTTATCGCATTGGACCTGGCGTGACAAACTGAGATTTTAACTCTTTCTCTCCCGAGCGACGATGCCATCGTTGATTTGACCCCATTGAATTAACTTAAACTTTAATTCGTGTTACCGTATATAAAAAAGGGCATGCAATTATAGTATTTCAAATTAAAAGAGAAATATTATTGAAGTTTAACCCTAACAGGCTTGTGAAATACAAATGAGAAAAATGAATACTTCCTTCTGAACATGAAAAATAATTATGGAGAGAGAGTTAAATCAACTTTACCCTTATAAATGTGCACCATATAGGCCTCATTTATCTTTTGACTCGAAGACAAGATTTATAATTACTATTACTTCTTAATTACTATAATTACTACACCTGTTTCTAATAACGAACACGGGCTTTGGAGGTGATAAGGGAGGCAACTAAAATTATGATTTTGGTAAGAAAGCATTATTTTGGTTATCGTTCTTTTCTTTGCTCGTTGACAATTTTGCGCTGAGTCACGGAAGATTAAAGTCGGGACGAGCGAAACCTGCACTTGTGGGCCATCACCACAGAATGATGACCATGTCCATCAAAGCTGCATACTATATCAAGAAGCCCGAACAAGACTCTGGCTCCAAAACCTTCCTTTAAGAACAAAAAACAATACGGAGAACTGCCTGATCTGGAAACCACTGCGCAGCTCGATCTCAGATATAGGATTACTGATCTGAACTCTCCGAGATGTAAAATGAGACCCAAGAAGAAGAAGACAATATCGCGGAAGAAATAAGGGGATTAACAGAACAGCGCAAGCAACTCTTGGTTTGAACATTTCCACAAAACACCGTGACTGAGAGCAATGTGCTTTTAACATTTTGACAGAAGTGTAGAGGCCAGAAATGTGTATGTAAAATATGTAAAAAAAAAAAACTGTCACGTGACAACCATCATGAATTAAACATTAGATCGTAAATTATATAGAAGAGATAGAGCACCAAGTGACTAAATGTTGTTTGTTTACGATTGGTGAATGAGGTCCAGTGTTTGCCATTTCCAACATTTGGTCATATCTTACAATGATAAAAGCTATGACAATTATGTGCTTACTTTCATTCTCATGTTGATCACATCGTAATTAACTTATATTTAAATTGTACCTTATTACTAATAAAAGCGAAATAATAATAGTAATAAAAGAGGCTAATCGTTAGGGTACCGGGTTTGCCAGTAAACCCAAATATCGTAGATAGCAGAACTGACTATAAAAATTGAGTCGAAATTACAAATTAAAAAAAAAAATCTATTTCTATGACTTTGTGTAATCATGTATGTGAATCTAGTCTGGGGTGATACAATTTGTAGCCTACTCAATATAAAAATGGAAATCTATTAGGTATTTGTAAAATACCACTGACATTGATCACGAGCTCTCCTAAACTGTCGTACGTATCCGCATGAAAGTTCGTAATTAGATTCCCTTTTACCTACTATAGGTGCTCACTAAGAACGGTTTTTGACAGATTCCCAACCTGACGTCTGCAATTCGCGAAAAACCGCAAAACTTTGTTTCTTTGAACGAGGGTTCCAGAGAGTGAAAAAAAAAAGAGACAGACACACAGAAAGAGAAAGCAGGCCGTAAAATGTCATTGCAACAGATACACTAGTACTGCTAGTAAAATATAAATATAAAAAAGACAACACTATTTTTTTTGTTTCGGAGATCTAACAAATTTATTTTGGGAGATAAAAGAGCTATCCGGGTCGACGAGATATATATAGCATCAGCCAAACTTTTGAGCCCGTGAAAAAAAAATTTATTTCAAAATTTTTAAACTCCAGCCTTTTCCCATTCCTATACATGGCTGCTTAATTTATTGGATATTTAATTAATTTTTTTAGAATGTTTCCAAAAGAGTTCGCCTTTTTTCCCCCCACTCTTACCATTATCTTTTGGTTTACAGTGAGTTTACACCATTTAGGTCAAATTTTTTTTTTCCCTTCCGTACCTTGTACTAGACAGTGAATAGCTGAAATGCAGAGAACGAGATAGAGAGAGAATGAGAGAGAGAGAGAGAGAGAGAGAGAGAGAGTAGTAAGGAATACTAGTTAATATGACAGGTCATGACCCCGGATACAAACTTTGTGTGATAAATCTCATTGATGTGACTTTTCAACTTCACGTGCAGAAATGTAAGTGGCCATTAGCCAGAGCCAATGAGGATGTGGCAATTAAAATATATATAAGTCAATATATTTCAAAGTCGGAGTTTCAGGGTGGGTTCATATTTGCGGATTTCTAACTCACTCCCATATTTATAAGGGTAAAACTATATGTGTCTTTTTTTTTAACATGCAAGTTTTCATCTTTATTTTAATTTATCACAAGCTCATGTCCAAGGCGTCACCGGGAAAGCTGTGATATGGTCACAACTAAGGAGGCTTGATGATCATTAGATCTCAAATATGTTTTTGTAGAGGCGTGTTCTCATTGGTTAATAGAAAGTAGAAAACAAACAAAACACTTTGTGTGACGTCATGTGTGAGACCGAGATAACACTTTTATTTGAATAAATGTCATTTATGAGA